TCAAAACTCTCACCTTCAAAGACGAAGCCTGTGACGCAGTAAAGATCGCATCACTGTGCTGGTGGGTGCAAACAAGGCAGGAAATGAGAAATTGAAGCTGTTGGTAATAGAAAAATCAAGGCCCTCACGTTGCTTCAAAGGCATTCGAAACCTTCCCGTTGCGTACCGTGCGAACGGAAGAGTGTGGATGACCATGGCCATTTTCGAAAACTGGCTATGGGAGGAAGATACAAAATTTACAAAGCAAGGCAAGAAGGTTGTCTTCATCAGGTTGAAAGACTCCAAGCCATCATTCTGGAGTTCTTGCCAACCAATGCAACGGCAGTGATCCAGTTGATGGATCTAGGGGTTATTCAGAACATTAAAGTTCATTACCGCAGACAATTGCTCCATTGAATGCTGCTTTGTGCAGACAGCGAGAAATGCTACAGCATAGATTTATTGGCAGCCATCCACATTTTGGCTCATGCCTGGAGCAAGTGAAGGCAACAACAATACACAGGTGTTTTCATCATGCTGGCTTTCAAGCGCAAGAAAGCAGTAACAGAAGAAAGCCCTACTGATGCCAACATGGAGACAATATTCAGTCAAGTCGTGCCCTCTGCCCCTTTCACCCTGCAAGACTACGAATCAACTGATGAAAATGTTCGTACCTGTAGTGAGGAGACTGTCAAGGAAATGATTGCCGAAGTGCAAGGTGAGGATCAACCTTTCAGTGATGAATGTGATGACAATATTGCCAGTGCAGTGGTGCAACCAGACCGATCAGCTGAAGAGGCTGTTGAACTTTTGCAGCGCTATTTTGAGCATGAGGCTTGTCCAGAATTTGTGGCTAGTTTATCAGGCATGGGTGTGTACCTTGTGAAAAAACAACTCAAGCTTGCCAAACAAACCACCCTTCACTCCTTTTTTTCTCCTACTCATCCTCATGAGTAAGGTAAGGTTTGTGCAATTTAAATAAGGTTTTTGATTCACTAAATAAGTGTACTTTGCTTAAATGAAACTTCTCATAAATAAAAAGCTTTATGGATCCCCTTCGGGTTTTGTTTAAGAGGCGTCGGCGGTAGTAAGGAAGCATTCACTATGCCATTCTTCGTTATTCTTCGGAGAAGCATGGTATCCTTTACACACTTACGAGAAATTTTGTGCAATTTTTCATGCTGTGACTGACGACGATAGCATTTATGCCTGAAACTTTTGTAATGGGGTTGGAGGATTCGACAACCCACTCGTTATGTGATTCACATTGTGTGACCCGTGGTTGTTCTTTTGCTGTTCTAAAAGGCTTTATTATTTATATCAAGCAATTCCTTTCCCCATGTCGGGCCTGCCGAAGGCCAGTTTGCAACAGGCTTTTAAGCACCAGCATGGTTCAATGGCAGAACACTGGGCTGGCATGCAGGAATCCCGGGTTCGAATCCTGTTGTGTCCTTCGTGATTTTCATTGATTTAGTTTGTTTTTTTGTGCGATAGCGGTTACGGACACCAGCAACAGTGGACAACTACGGCACACATGACCGTTGTTGTGGTGTTACTACAGCTTTCGCAGTAAAAAATTTGCTATCGTATATATCAGGGTCTTCACCACTGCCACAAGTAAACGTTTACAAGTACCTTGTTGAGCAGAGTGGATTAGGGGACAAATGGGGGTTAAGGATATCATAGTTGAAATAAAGAAGAGGAAATGGACATGGGCCGGGCATGTAGCGCGTAGACAGGATACCGCTGGTCATTAAGGGTAACTAACTGGATTCCCAGAGAAGGGAAGCGGGTTAGGGGGAGGAGACAGAAGGTTAGGTGGGCAGATGATATTAAGAAGTTTGCGGGTATAAATTGGCAGCAGCAAGCACAGGACCGGGTTAACTGGCGGAACATGGGAGAGGCCTTTGTCCTGCAGTGGACATAGCCAGGCTGATGATGATGATGATGATGTTGTGACATTGACTTCGAATTTAACCTTGAATATCATATCGACAACTTTTATCTGCCTTTCATAAGCTACATCTCTTCAAACATAAACTTTAAACTGCTCCCACAAATGTTAAGTTGCTATGCTACACTGCTCTTGTGCAATCAAAAGTAGGGTACGCGTGCATTAAATGGGACCCTTACACTAAGCGTAATGTTAACACTGTTGAACACATTCAAAGAAAGCCTATAAGATTTATATTTAGCAAAATTTCCCCCATTAGACTTTCCCTCAGATTTAATGCGAGCAAATGTAATTGTTTTGTTACAAGCATGGAAGTAAAAAGCTAATTCGAATTTCTGTATCAACTTTGATACACAATCTTGCTCTGGATGCATCCCCATATTTGACACCTCTAGCTTGGAGGCCCTCCTTACAGTCCCACGCCAATACCTTAACCCCCATATTTTGCCCCCCATATTTTACTCGCACTGACCTATTAAAGTATTCATATTTTCCGAGAACAATTAGTTAATGGAATTGTCTTACTAATACATGTGATCAGACTGAAAATTGACATTGTTCACCTTTATTCCTGTTGTGTGATTGTTGTTTTTGTATTTGTATTGACCACCCTGCATGGAGCACAAGTTGAATAAATGAATAATTAAATAACGAAATAAAAAGTGCACATGTCAAACACTCACCAAATCAAAGCGTCACTTCTTTCTGCGAACGCTGCTGACAAAGCCGTGACGGAAGCACTCATAGATAGCAACAAGCCACTTTGTTCTGAAGGCACCTGTGTGACCAGCACACGCAGAACAAAAACAGAAGTACACTTGCTGCAACTGCCGCGAATGAAACCGCAACCGCTGTGCCGCAATCATTGATAGCAACTACGAGCTTCTTTGGTACATGGCTGAAACAGCGGTAGGTGAATGGGTATACTGATAAAGACAAAAAAAAAAAAGAAAAAAAAAATGCACCAAGCATTCCGGTGCCGATGTTCGTTTATGACTATGGTGGAGCAGACTTTATCACTTTCCAGTTGGCCTCAAGTGAATGAAGCCTTGACCGAAAAAAATTGTATTGTGTGTATATCGCAGTTCGCAGATGGCTTTTGCTGGTTCTTTTTATTATACTAAGCTTCGAGTGATTAGAATATTTTCGATTCTTCTTGAGATTCGACACTCCCCTGTGTTGTCTATAAGTCATGATAAGACTACAGTGCCAATCTTTACGTTTAAGGGGCTGTTCGAGATCCGCACCCTTTCCGACATTTTTTTTTAAGTGCTAAGGGGAGCAAGACATATATGACCCCGCCCTCCTCATTGAGGAACTCTCCCTCCCGGATACAGAATTGAATATTCAACTTGTATGGTGTTCCTGTATTATATATGTTTCGAAAGATGCAACGTGCTTGCATGTATACCTAAGGGAGTGGACCCCGTGGCCGATTTATCGTGTTAGTAGTAGATTTTATGCAGAACGATTCAATGAGCAGGTGGGATAGTAGTCTTTTCTTTTTTTCGATTATGAAAGTTGATTGCCAGTCCTGGCACTGTCCAGTTTTTTTATGGTGCTTTGCTAGCGTGTTCAAAACCTTGTGTCGTTTGGCTATGTCATTACGGTGCTGCTGTAGTGCCATATGCTGTAGTGCTGCAGGGCCATATGCAGCACATGTCGCATTCTAATGACAAGGTCAGTGGCTCTTATGCTTTGGAGCAGAGTAGACAGGGATCATTAGCTCGCCATTGCACTTGTGATTCTAAATAATTTGTGCTAAAAGTGAAACAAAAATAAAAACTAAAAAGTTAGGCTTGTGAGAATATTCAAATGCTTCAAATATTCGAACTTACGTCGATTTGAATTTAAAGTATTGAAAATTTTGAAGTAGTCTGAATGAACAAATAAGTGTATATTAGTCTGCATGTAACCCCCTGTGAATGTATTCAAGTGTAGTTTCAATGCAGTGGAGGGTTGCTAAACTGTGAAAGCATCTATTCAACTGTATGATGCTACAGTGTGTCTTGGACATTAGCAAGCGTGGGGCTCTCCGAAGATGACGAAGACTGTGTGTGAAGCGCTTGTGCGAGAGGCTGCTCTTGTTTGGCTGCACATTAACTGTTGCAGGTCATTAAACCTATGTCTAGCCTCTGTCACATTCCGTGGAGGTGCTGGGTACAGGTGGCGGTGCCGTATCTTCTGGCATTGTTGCAGCAAGATCCTGCAAACGACATGTAACTCTTTGTAAGGGTGGTTTCACTGTAGTGAAGGGTTGCTCAGCCGTGAAAACACATATTGGAAATTTGCATTGCTGCAAAGCTTTACTCGTACATGATGTGAGAGAAATAGGGCGAAGGTTGTTTTAGGGCGAAGGTTGTTTGTGTTTACGGCCTTTCCAGGTTTCGGTATAAATGTGACTAGGGCAGTCTTCTAGTGTATGGGGAGTGGCACTTCCCCTGACCAAATTGAGTTGAAATAATCTAATAGTGATTCATAAGCCGCGTCGGGAAGGTTAGCTAACATTTTCACAGTAATTTTGTCCCGACCCGGAGCGGTGCCACGTTTCATTTTAGTCAAGGCTTTCCGAAGTTCGAAAAGCTCGAATGGGCAGTCCAGTTCTACGTTCTCCGCACCCGCATAGGAGTATGCCGATCCACGCAGGTCCTCTGTAGAGCAATGATATTGGCCTCTTAATTTGTGCGCCAGCTGGGTTGCATTACTTTGAAAGCTATGGATTGCCCTTTGTGTTTCTGAGTTTTGGTGCGGGTCTCCATTGGGTCTATGAGTGCGCAAAATAGCCTCCAAGTATTTTTGTCGGACATCTGGCGCGCTGCCGTGTTGCATAACAACTGGGGAGCGGAGAGTACTTTGTTCTGTCTGAACAGAAGTGCGTGTACTCTTTGATGACTGTTGCCTGTTTCATTGCTGGCTTTATTTCAAGCCAGTGAAGCTGGGGCAATCTTCACATGATTCCTAGTTCAACATAATTCGTAGTTGATTTCAATATCTCATTGTGAGCAGCATTTTAGTGCAAAGTGAGTGTTCCACTAATATTAGATTTGAATTTTTTGTCTGCCTTTAGGTCAGGCCAATGCCACCTACGCTGAGAATGCATCCGAGCTTATGAAGCTGGTTTTCGACTTTGTCTGCCATGAAAACGTCGAGGATGAGAGCCGATTGAGTGAGAAGGTGAGAAGGACTGTTGAGCTTGCATAGTGGGCTTGCAAACATTCCTGCATTTTTTTGCATTAACTTATGTATAATGCTTGTACAATATCTGTCCTGCTGTTGAAATGTGCAACTCTGTTATCACACAATAGTAATTGTGTGTGAGCCTCAGCTGCACATGCTTCGACAGGTTTGGAGCTGCTTTGTCTCCGGCATGGTGCAGTAGACGGGAAAGTTGCAAAAAAGAAGAGTAATACCTGTGTCACACGGGCGCGCAGAAAGTCTTTTAAGTAAGCGGTCTTTTACGAAGTTGAAAGACTTTTAACAAAGAGGTGTTGCGGGGCAGACACACGGCAGCAATGATCTCCTTTTAGTGTTTTCGTTCGAAGACGCTAGCGAAAGCGTGGCGCTAGCAGTTAAAAGAGAAGCAATGAAAATTAAACGCTGTATCACGATGTACAAATTAAATACTTGTTGCACTGCTTGTTTCTTCAAATAAATTTAAGAATAAGAGATAAAGAAACACCAATGTGAAAGTTTGTTGCACTAGTTAAGGAAGCATTCCCATAACTATCAACGTGCACAAGTCCGTCTGGCACCACTGGGCTTTTATTTACCGTATTTGTTTTTCGCTGCTCTCGACACGTTACGGGCGACCGTGCGGAAGAAAAAGCGATGATCGCAAGCCTCACGGCCTGCCTTCTCGCTCTGGAAAGCGAGGCAGACGCTGCAAAAGCCGCCAAGGAGAGGACCAAGCAGCAACTGCTGTACACCAATGCCTTCTGAAAAGAACAGTCTAGGCATAGCTGCAACAAAACTACCCTTAACTCGTCACTTAGACAACACCCAGAGGATGTCCTGCATGAAATTTTCAACTGCAAAAGCATTCGATTTTGTTCTATGTGGCCTCAGTCTGACAGCTACGTAAAGAGCTGAGAAGATCCATCCACTAGAATCAGTCAAAGCGGGCCCCTTAGCACAGTGTCGAAAACTAACAAGGAGCATGAAGTAGGAGCGGAGCACCCTTCTGCTACGACATTGATGACACGCATGTAATGCTTGCATATGACCTATTTTCAGAAGGCTTCCAGATGTATGATGCACCTAGGTGTAAAAGTGATAAAGCCAAATGAGTACATCATCATGCACTGCTCTACAGATTGGTTTCTCAAAGTGGGTACTGAAGAACCTACGGGTTCCACGAGCCTCTGATAAACTCGTCAAGTCATTTAGATGGTGAACGCCGGGTGCGATCTATTTAAAAAATTTTTCATTACTCCCGCCCCACTGTCAACAGCCACAACTTGTTACATAACAGAAACGCGCTAAATGTGCAATAAATCCTGCCAGCAGCTTAGAGCCAGCCAGACTATGAAAATTGGCCGTGCTGTCGAGACACTGCTTGATCTGTCCTATATAGTACTTCCTGTACAATAATGAAAACTTGTAGACGATGCAGCACTCCTAATCAAGAAATCTAACCTGGTGTCTCTTATCACAGGTAAGTGAGCAACATTATTTGGGCAAGTCAACTCGCAAAGCTCCCCTAGTTTTTGAGGACTGAAAACATAACGCTCATGTTAGCCCGCTGGACCACTTTTTCAGGTTATGGGAAATAGTGTGCGTATACGGGATCACATCTACTGTACCACCAGACATTCCAACTCTTGTTCCCTGTCTTTTTTGCACAATCCTTTCAGGATGATGCAAAATATGAACAGCCAACACAGACTTATGAGCTTAGACGTTTTATCAGCATCGAAATGAGCCCAGATCGTAAAGATGGCTCCTGCTCTTCTCCTAAACAGTCACGCACAAGCTGGCATGGTGGCGCAAAGCTCGTCTTTTTCTTTTTTCGGACTGAATGCGGGAAAACTCAACACATTCCCGGCCATGCCATGGTGTGTAGTCCATTTGGTCAAGCACTTCGGTGTTGCCGCTTCTCTAAAGTATTCCGTGTGCGTTCCTGCTTTCGTTGCCTGCTGGTGCTCATGCAGTATGCCATGTTCTGGTTGTTAGTTTTGTTGTTCCCGCTCAGCCTGGCAATGTTCGTCAACCAGCTGCTGTACCTTGAACAGCAGACGGAAAAATCAGTCTGAGCATCTCCTGCGGAGCAAGCAGCCACTTGCGCACCTCGTCCCAATCCCTAGTCGCTTTATCTAGTTTGAACTTGCACTCTATCTCTAGGTTGGTTTGTGCACCTTTCCTCATGGCTTAAAAGCCAGTTTTCAATCAAATTCTATGAGTTTGCTTTTGTCAATAAGTAGGCCTTCAGCATGGGTCGCATGGTTCTTTGTATTTCTCGTGCAACTATGACGGCAGCTCGGTCATCTTAGTTTTCCATAGAAGTTCTGTGCTCGTTCACGTTTTTTTTTTAACTTCTGGCTCACTCTACTGGAAAAGTCACTCATGGTTAGCATGGAAGGCAGGCTTCAGGTTCTGACGCTGGTCTGTACAAGCATGTCTCCAAGTCAAGTCCCATGGCACTGGAGGCTTCAGGAGTCAAACGTCGCTGATGATGAAGGTTCAGTGCTCCCTTGAAACTTGCACTCGAACTTTTTTATAGCAGTCAGTGCTTTCTCATTTCCAGCTCTCAAAAGTTCACTGTTCCTGTTGACGTCTTTGCATTCTCTTCGGCTAAGCTTTTCTGGATCACACAAGCTGAACACATGACAACCTCTGCATCCTGAGCATGCGATTCTATGCCTGCAATCCTTGTCCGATAACCTTTAGCAGGGCATCGAAAAAACCTCACATCGGTGGAGAGAAGCTTTTTCTTCTCTGATAGCGGCAAATTCATGCAGCATGATTCCGTCAAGAGCTAGTTCGATTTACAGAAATTGCAGCTCAAATTTCTAGGAGCAGAACGAACTTGACAGTGAAGCACTGATGCTGTTGTGGTCGCATTGAAAAAGAGAGGCCTAATGTTGCTTCTAGGATCAGCTACCCCTCATCATATACCTTACGCTCAGCAATGTCGCTCTTTCCAAGGTTCTCCACTTTAATAGAAATAAATTTAAGAAGGCCATCAAGTACTGTGACCTGCTGAATGTTGTTCATGGTGGAACTTGCAGGTTATTTTGAGCAAGATCTGCAGTAGGCAACCACAATAACATATGGCAAAGCCTTTAGCAGAAGGTTGCATAATGTCAACGAGAATGACAATTTGCTGACTCCAAGTGCCTCCAATCCACGGGTGTTAATCTACACTAGGTCATACATCTTGCGGAGTTTTGGTCACTTCGATGTACGAACGCAAAGGGGTCTACCTTTTGAGCCTTGAAAAATCTTCCTGCTTCAGGCACCTTTTGTCACTGAAGCATCTCTTCAGCATGGCTAAGGCATCTTCGTAACACGCTTCTGTGGTAGGTAACCCCGGAATAGCCGCCGCGGCGTCTCCTTTCACAAAGGGCCTCAGTTAATAAATTTGTCGCTAGTTGCTATATTGCCGTTCCGGTTGATGACCTGGTCGAATTGTTCCAAAAATGCATTCCACATGAACAAGTCACCAGCGAATGAATTGATTGTCAGCTTCGGAAACTTCGCTCCAGGTCGTCTTTTTGTAGACTCTATGGACGCCAGCACAACGTAAACTTCAATAGGCGACGACATTACAGATGTTTTCGCTGTGTTGGCGTCGTTTGTTCTTGAGCTCGGCTAAGATGCGGGTTGCACTCTCCTGATACAGTCAAACTGCGCTTTAACGAACTCCACTACAACAAAATTTCCGCATCAACGAATGTTTTTTGATTCTCCATCCATAGGCTCTATATTATTAAAACGTCGTCTACAACAAACCCCACTTTTTTATTGTTCTCCCGGATCAACGTAATTTTCCTGAGACATGAGTTATCCAACCAGCCACAAATTGAACCACGCTAACTAGTAACTGAAGTGACAACACTTTTTGTCCTTGAAAATGGCATGAAAAAAAAGTAGGCACGATAGCGGCTGTCTTTGCATTTTTTTTTCTCGCGCTGTCTTCAATGGAAAATTCTTATTAGCTGGCCCCGCATTCACAGTTTACAATAGGCATTTCTTAGATATCTGACAGTTAAAACGCACCAAAGTTGACATATGTCAACGTAACCTGCCAAATGCCGCAAAACCATGGCACCATGACTTGTAGTTGATGATAATGCTCTGCACCATTTCGTGAAGCATAAAGTTGTGTCGTGAAAGCCTGCAAGCTTGGCCAGCCGAAGCCAAATCCACACGTTGAATATTGGCTCATGGCTCTTTTTTTTTTCAGCTGTTCTGTGGCATTTGTTAGTCCAGCCTTGTGTCTCGTCTCGTTAGCTCAATAGATCAGTAGTCCAGTACCTTGTTAGCTCTGACGTGCGTATTTTTTTTCCCTCGATCTACAGCAGCGAGAGCTCATGGCAACAACGCCCCGCCATGGGGGTCTAGTGGCTAAGGTATTCTGCTGCTGACCCACAGGCAGCGGGATTGAATGCCCGCTGTGGCGGATGCCTTTTCGATGGAGGTGAAAATGCTCTAGGCCTGTGTGCTCAGATTTAGGTGCACGTTAAAGAACCCCAATAGGTCGAAATTTCCAGAGCCCTCCTCTATGGCGTCTCTCATAATCATATGGTGGTTTTGGGACATTAAACGCCCCTGATCAATCAATTATAGTGACGCCACAGACAGAGTACGAAACAGAAGTTTCTTTGGCTGAAGCAGAAGGCAAAAATAATTACCCCGGTAAAAGAAGTACAAAAATGCGATGTATGGCCGAGGATTATGGTTTCTCGCCTCGCTGTTGACAATACTGAAGTCCAAAGCGAGCATCTTAAATGCACTAACGTCGCGCACGTCTACCAGCCAAAGAAGATGACCCAGCCAGCCCATGAAAAACTTGACAAGGCAGTGTATGCTTGGTTTTGTGAAACGAGGGCTAAAAAGATACTGATCAGCGGTAGCCTAATTCAGCAGAACGAAGAAAACACTGAGCTACGGCTGCATTTTAGGCATCAATAAAAAACTTCAAGGAAAGTGCCAGACGGCTCAACCGATTGAAGGAGCGCCATGAGATCGTCGGGAATGT